TGTAGAAGAATGAAAATAGACCCATATCTATCACCATGCACAAAACTCAAGTCCAAATGGATCAAAGACCTCAATATAAAGCCAGCTAAACTGACCTTATAGAAGAGAAAGTGGGAAGTACAGTTTAACACATTGGCACAGGGAACCACTTCCTAAATATAACCCTAGCAGCACAGACACTGAAAGAAACAATGAATAAGGGACCTCCTGAAACTGAAAAGCTTCTGTAAAGCAAAGGACACGGTCAACAAGACAGTCTATACAATGGGAAAAGATCTTCACTAACCCCACATCAGACAGAGGTCTGATCTCCAAAATATATAAAGAACTCAAAAAATTGGACACCAAAAGATCACGTAATCCAATAAAAAAAAAAAAAAAACAGCGTACAGACCTAAACAGAGAACTCTCAATAGAGGAATCTAAAATGGCTGAAAGACACTTAAGGAAATGTTCAACATCCTTAGTCATCAGAGAAATGCAAATCAAAACAACTCTAAGATTCCATCTACACCTGTAAGAATAGCCAAGATCAAAAACACTGATGACAACTTATACTGGAGAGGTTGTGGGGAAAAGGGAACACTCCTGCATTGCTGGTGGGAATGCAAGCTGGTACAACCCCTTTGGATGTCAGTGTGGCGATTTTTCAGAAAGTTAGGAAACAACCTTCCTCAAGACCCAGTAATACCACTTTTGGGTCTATATCCAAAAGATGCTCAATCATGCCACAAGGACATGTGCTCAACTATGTTCATAGCAGCTTTGTTTGTCATAGCCAGAACCTGGAAACAACCTAAATATCCCTCGACTGAAGAACGGATAAGAAAAATGTGATACATTTACACAATAGAGTACTACACAGCAGAAAAAAATAACGACAGCTTGAATTTTGCAGGAAAATGGATGGAGCTAGAAAACATTATTTTGAGTGAGGTAACCCAGATTCAGAAAGACAATTATCACATGTACTCACTCATAGGTGGTTTTTAAACATAAAGCAAAGAAAGCCAGCCTACAAACCACAATCCCAGAGAACTTAGACAACAATGAGGACACTAAGAGAGACTTACATAGATCTAATCCACATGGGAAGTAGAAAGTATAAAAAGACAAGATTTCCTGAGTAAACTGGGAGCATGGGGACCTTGGGGGAAGATTGAAGGGGGAAGGTGAGAGGCAGGGAGGGGAGCAGAGAAAAATGTAGAGCTCAGTAAATATCAATAAAAAAATGTATATATATATATATATACATATATATATATATGAAGCTAGAGCTAATGGGCCAAGCAGTGTTTTAATTAATATAGTTTCTGTGTGGTTATTTTGGTTCTGGGCGGCTGGTATGGGACAATTGTCTATATTCTGTCAATTATATTTTAAATAAACGCTGACTGGCCGGTAACCAGGCAGGAAGTATAAGCAGGACAACCAGACAGGAAGTAGAGGCGGGTCAATGAGAACAGGAGAATTCTGGGAAGAAGGAAGCCCATTCCTCTGCAGTCCTGATCCATCCATAGAAGAAGCAAGACGTGACTGCCTCACTAAAAAAGGTACCAAGCCATGTGGCTAACATATATTAGAGTAATAATATAAGTCATAAGAGTTAATAAGAAGCCTGAGCTAATGGGCCAATCAGTTTTTAACTAATGTAGACCTCTGTGTGATTTCTTTAAGACTTAACGATTGCGGGCAGGACAGGAAACCTCAGTCAACAGGTGGCTAGGACGAACAAGCGGCTCCCTTCTGCAACATGCTGTTTATGTTTCTTCAGTTATACAACATAAAAATTATCCCCATAAAGTTTAGCACTAGAAAAATACTGTTATTTTTATTTTGTGTGTATGGGCATTTTGCATGCTTGTGTACCACATGGATGCAGTGCTTACTGAGGCCAGAAAAGGGGGGTTAGATTCCCTGGAATTTGAGCTACAGATGGCTTTGAGTCACCACGTGGGTGCAGGGAACTGAACCTGGGTCTTCTGCAAGAGCAATAAGTACTCTTAAGCACTGAGCCATCTCTCTAGCCCTGAAAAATATTAATTTTAGCTATGTCTCATGGCACAGACCTGTAATTCCAGCTCCTTGGAAGGCAAGACGGGAGGATCACTAGTTGAAGTAGCAAATTCCAGGCCAGTCTGGGCAGCTTAGCAAGATCTTTTCTCAAAATAAATTTGGTGGGTTTTGTTTTGCTGGAATGGGGACACGGGTCAGTGGTAGAATAGGTCGAATTCGGAAGGCTTGGGGGGGGATGGTAATGGTGGTGCTGGTGACTAAAACACTATAAAGAAAGAAATATAGAGAAAGAAAAGTGCCATGTTTCTGAACTAGTTCCTGAAAAGAATCTGATTCTTCAAAACTATCACTGAAGATCAACAGTTAAACAGCCCTGGTTGCTCTCCTCCACTTTCTTTGTGGTCATCTTATCTCCTCAACTGTGGTTCAGCCCATTCCTGTTCTGTAACTTGAGGCTTCAACAGCTTTGCTGTTGAAGTGAGCCATGGCTGAGCATGCCTGGCTGGGGTACCCCAGTGTGCTCTCAATTGTTCCCTGGATAACTGTAGAGGCATTTTACGTGACCCCTCCCCCCCATTATTCTCGTAATGCTCTCCTGACTCTTCCTCACCTCCACTCTCAACTACTCTCTCCTACAGGAGTTAGAAATACCAAGGTACATGACAGGATTTCCTTCTAGATTTTTCTACTGCCTGCCTGACCACCTATGACACTAAGGTCCCACGATGCCTCAAATATATTTCTTCCTGTTTCTTCTGAGTCATTGACTTTTACTGACAGTTCCTCCATCCGCGTAGCTTCCTCAATTCTATATAACTTCCACTCTTCTCACTTGTTCAATACACCAGATGCATATTGGTGAAAGATACTGGCACTCGGGCCAACTGTCTAAAGTCTAAATACTGATGTTTAACCTAAGTAACCTCTGGAGATACAGTTCTGTGACAGAGTGCTTGCCTAACACATATGAATCCCTAAGGTCAATGTTCAGTACCATAAATTTAAATAATTGACTAATTTAGTAAAATCCAAAGTTCACTTCTTAATTACAACAGCTGCCTTTCAAGCACTCAATAGCCACATGCAGAGAGGAGTACCGATATGGGACCGCACAGCACTGGGAGTCACACCCACACAGGAAAACACAGCATAGGGAGTCACACCCACACAGGACCACACAGCACAGGGAGTCACACCCACACAGGACCGCACAGCACAGGGAGTCACACCCATACACAGGACCACACAGCACTGGGAGTCACACCCACACAGGACCACACAGCACAGGGAGTCACACCCACACAGGACCACACAGCACAGGGAGTCACACCCACACACAGGACCACACAGCACCGGGAGTCACACCCACACAGCACTGGGAGTCACACCCACACAGGACCACAAGGCACTGGGAGTCACCCCCACACAGGACCACATGGCACTGGGAGTCACCCCACACAGGACCACACGGCACTGGGAGTCACACCCACACATGACCACACGGCACTGGGAGTCACACCCACACAGGACCACACAGCACTGGGAGTCACACTGAGATGGCCCCTTGCAAGCAATCAATTAGGTCAGTTTGGTTTAGTATTTAGTAGAAGAGCAATCCACATCAGACATAGAACTGTCAATCAGTCAGACGTGCTCCCTTGGAACCAGGCCCTTGTTTCTCCTGGCTCCCTTTCTGTAAATGCTGTCCTAACACATCAACCATCCTTCCAATACCAGCTCCTGGAGGACTCATCTCAGTTCAAGACAAGAACTGGGCTGAGCTGATCAAACACCCACCAGATGGAATAAAAACCACCCATATGGTCCCAGTTCAACTTCCCAGTGCTAACTCACCCCATGTCTTCTTACACCCCAACCAACTAACTTCCTGCCTCACTCCTGAACATATTACTGCTACCCTATAGCTAACTGATAAACTCACTCTTCCCTGCCTCTAGGATTGCTTCCAGTGATGAATTTCCCAGCAGAATACTGTCATTCCTCTGTGGCCTTGCCTTGTCATTCCTCAGAGCCCTGCTCCTTGATGGTCTTTGAAAACCGTACAGACTTTTGGACTGTATACTGGAGTTATGAAGATCCTTGTGATGGTCTGTCCTGTCCCTTTAAAAGACAAGTCACACCTACTCCCTCCCATGTCTGCCGAGGCAAGCTGATCTGCTGATCTTCAGCTTCTAGCCTGAGCCCCTTCCTTCCACCACCCTCTCCCCCCTTCAGAGGCAGCTTCTGTCTCTCCTTTCTCCCCACTTCTCTCCTTCTCTGTTTTTTTTTCTCTCCCTTCCTTCCACCCCCCCTCAGAGGCAGCTTCTGTCTCTCCCTTCTCCCCACTTCTCTCCTTCTCTGTTTCTCTCTCTCTCCCTGCTCTTCCCCCTTCCCTACCATAACCCACTAAATAAATATACAACTTCACTCTGCATGGCTTGCCCATCCATGTCTCTGTCTCTCACCCTCCGTGTGGCTCCCTGCCTAGGACCATGATGCCTTTGGAGACCTGCAGCATGGGCATGTCTAACCATCTCAATCTCTCACCCCACGCGGCTCCCTGCTTGGGACTCACTGCCCCTTGTGGCCTGCAGGCAAGCCACTCGGGAGCTCTCTGACTGGGACCTGGCTGCCTTCGTGGCCTGACACGGTCTCGGTACCCACTGCCTGCTGCTTGCCGCTACATGGGAACCTGCGGCGTGGTCTCATGGCCTGCTGCCCACTGCCTTTGCTTGGGTACCTACAGCATTTCTGCTGCTTTGCCCCTTGGGGAACCTGCAGCATTTTACCTTTACCATAACAATCCTTGCCCCAAGTACTAATCCCTTCCCACCTACCTTTACCATAACAATCCTTGCCCCGTACACTGACCTAGAGCCTACTCAGCACGGGTGGCCTGGGACAGGACTTCAGAGCAGCCCAGCCTCAGGAAAGCCTGCTCCTGTTTTAGATAATCTAATATATTTAAAAAAAAGCACACTTACTCTTTAAGGAGCAGACGCTTTCCCAACGTTACTGGCTTTGGCAGGAGTTGAAAATGAGATTTTGTAATCACAAGAAATAAAATGACAAAGCATTAAATCATATAAGGAATGTGTTGGTAGCCAGCCAAATCTGGCTGTGGTGGAGCAGAGGGCTCTCAGCACGTGGAAAATGCGCATTTCCTGCAGCTTTATTGTCCGCCCCTAGCTCAAGCCACCTCCCCAATTAGTAGGCCAAAGTGCACAGAGGGTAGGGCTAAAAGGTCTAAGATGAAAGCAGGTGATAGGTCAAGATGGATTGATTGTCACCAGCAGGAGAGGTCAAACAGATAGAAGCAGGCATGCTTGGGGCACAAAGCTTAACAAGGACCTTCAAATAAAGATAGAGATTCTTGTTCCTCATCTGAACGAGGGCTTAGCTAAATGCTATATTTGGGAAGAAATAAAAAAAAGAAAATTAACTAGTGGGTAAAGGAAGGAAATCCTGCTACAGGAGTAGCCAGTGAACATGGCTGCTAAATGCTCAAAAACTGGGCTAGAAGGACAGAAGGGGGCTGGCAAAAACTTCACAGCAAAGTGTGAGGAGATGGGACAGGAAAGTTAGGCCACTCGACCCAAAAGTATTCCAGGCAAGTTAGCGTTATACATGAAAAACAGAGAATCAAGAAAGGTCTAGAAGAAATCACAACTTGAAAACGTCTCCACAGGGAAGGTCACTCTAAGACACATAAACCACAGAGGCCATAAGAAAACACTTCACTAAAAAATAAATTATATCAGTATTACGAGAATAATAAGTTGACTGCATAAAATTGCTTTTGAAGTCCACTCGGAAAGAGATTTCATAAACAAAATCAAAACTTGCCAACAGATATCACATAACAGACAACTTCCTTAGAGCATAAAAAGTCCCCATAGAACAAGAACAAGTAAGTGGGTAAGTGACCTGGGTGACGCCTCAGGTAGAAAACAGGATCAGCCCTTAAACCCACGAAAAGATGCTCAGTTTCATTTACAACAAGACTAAGTCCTTGGGTTAAGGTTCTCACTCATCACCAGCAAAAACAGTAAAAACCCAAGAAGCCACGGACTATGCAGTGAGGATGTGTAGAAACAGATGCTCTCACATCCTGGACCAGTTTGCACACTCATCAACAAACTCCATGGATAGCAACTTGTCAAAACCTGTGGCAATGTAAGGTGTCCCTTCCCTTGACCTAACAATGCCCTCTTTCTTTTAGGAGTTCACCCTTATTTTCTATTGAATATATATAAAATCTTGATACGAAGTTATTTATTACAACATACTATAATGAAAGACTGGAAGCAACTCATATGCCCCCTTTTTCATGGGGTCTGGTGAATAAACACTGGCATAGCTTTTTAAAAGACTACAGCTGAACAGCTGTGGTACATGACTTTAATCACAACACTTGGGAGGCAGAGGCAAGCAAATCTCTGAGTTAGAGGCCAGCCTCGTCTACAGAATGAGTTTCAGAACAGCCAGGGCTACACAGAGAAACCCTGTCTTGAAAAAACAAAACAAAGCAACAACAACAAAAGATTCAATAGAGCCATTAAGTACAAATTGAAATTTTCAGACATTAAAATAGTGGGGCACACAACTACGCAAGGTGATGTATGTCTTTAATCCCAGCACTTGGATAGCAGAGGTAGGTGGATCTCTGTAAGTAAGAAGCCAGCCTGGTCTACACAGTGATTTCCAAGCCAGCAGTGGTACTTAGATCTTGTCTTTTAAAAATTACATTTATTTGGTACTGGAGAGATAGCTGGGTGCTTAAGAGCAGTTGCCACTCTGCAGAGGACCAGCGTTCAGTTTCCAGAACCCACATGGGGGCTCACAACTGTAACTCAAATTACACCAGATCAGATACCCTCTTCTGTCTTCCATGGGTATCAGACACACACATGGTTCACATGTATACATGCAGGTGATACTCTCATACACATAAAAATAAATACATTTTAAAATACTGAGGCAGTCCCATTTGTCCCAATGGGTAATGAACAATAAGGTATATTGTTAATTTAAAAAAAAAAAAGAAAAGAAAAAGAAATAGAAGACTGTATAGCAGCCAGGCATGTAGTACACATGGATAATTCCATTGCTTAGAAAACAGAAGCAGATTCTGGTCCTGTGGTGGTGCATGCCTTTAATCCTAGCACTTGGGAGGCAGAGGCAAGCAGATCTCTGAGTTCAAGGCCAGTCTGCTCTATAGATCAAGTTATAGGATGGTCAGGGCTACGTAAAGAGACCCTGTCTTGGGGGAAAAGAAAGAAAGAAAGAAAGAAAGAAAGAAAGAAAGAAAGAAAGAAAGAAAACTGAAGTGGGAGGATAGGGAGTTCAAGGCTAGTATGAGCTGTATAGCAACTCAGTCTTAAATAAGTAAACAAGCAAAATCAAAACAAACAGTAGATAAAATAAGACTTCTAAATTGAAGAGAGAAGGAGAAACATATATCATATGCTTGTATATGTATAAAATGGTCCTGGAAATAATGGCTGGGTCTGGGAAGAGAAACTGGAAGGCTGGGAGTAGAGATGAAGAAATAGAAATTCAAGTACTGTTAGGATGAAAATCTATCTCCGTACATTAGGCACACATAATCATAATCAGAATGCCTACATTAAGATAATATTCGGGGGGACACACCTCCTGACCTACGTAATAGTGCAGAGGTTAAGTACACACCAGCAGGAACTTTAGTCTTTAACTCGAGGTCCAGTACTCCAAGATAGACACTGATAAGGTCTTTCCAACCTGTAACCACACATCCAAGGTTAAGCTATGACTTCCTATCTCCTTTGTGGTTCAGAAAGCGCTGATGAGAAAGTTGATAAAACACCAGTGACTGTTTTCCCTGGGGGTTCTTGTTCAAGAAGTGGTCGAGACACAGCTGCTCCCCCAATTCTGTCACTCTAGTAACACCGTGGACAAGACAGCTCAGTCTGCTGGACTGTGCCCATGGGCAGAGGATCAGGGAGGAACAGAAAGTCTTACCACCTAATCCTGGAGATCCGACTAATTGAGACAGGATCAATTAGACAGAACAACCAGGAACTTAGCTAGAAAGGGGCTTGTGCATCTGTGGCAGTTTTCAAAACTTTTACTGTCTAAGAAGACAAAGTTCATGTCCTGGCAAGGCCCAGTTCATGAGAAACATCAGACTCTTGAACCAAGATATGAGCTGTGATAATCCAAGATAACTACTTCCTAGAAATCATGTTTGAAATAAGACAAAACCATTGAAATCCAAACTAGTCTCTCCATCTGTCTGGACAAAACAGAAGTCTAACGCCACTTGACCAGCTCCTCATATGGTACCTGAGCTCCAGGGTCTGGGGATCTCACTACAAGCTTTCATCCTCCCTCAAGGAAGAGTGCCAGAGAGAGCATCATATTGGCAAGCATTTTCTACTGAACTAAAAGGGAATCAAAGTAGCCCCATGTGTGCTATGATAGAGACCTAGAATGGAAACTGAGCATCTAAAACATTCTCCTATTGCCCAAACTTGCTCTCAAAGAGCTGGGAGTTTAAAGAGGTTTGTCTTCAGCAAAGGGGGTACGGCCAGTCAAAAGTATTTCTGATTGTAGGAACAAAGCCGACTTCCCAGAGAAGAGCCCTGTCAAAATAAACAATGGCAAGGTTTGGAGGGCACAAAGTCTAGTCTACCCTCTTTCTAGCCAAAATCTCCTACCCAGAGGAAGTCTCAGTAATGTAATAAACACACACAAAAAAAAGCACAACATAAAAACTAGACCTTGTGGTGCTTGCCAGGAACCCTACAGCATTCAGGAGGCTGAGGCAGGAGGATCATGTTGAAGGACAGTCTGGGCTACAAGAAGAGATTCTTATCAAAAAGAGGGGTAGGAGAGGAAGAAGGCGAAGGAAAAGGAGAAGGAGCAGGAAAAGAAGAAGACAGAAGAAAAAGAAGAAGAAGAAGAAGAAGAAGAAGAAGAAGAAGAAGAAGAAGAAGGACACAAGACAGAACCACTTAAAATTTCGTAGTTGGTAGATAGCACTGGAAAACACTACATTAAAAAAAAAAACTAAAATGCAACAAACACAAGTTTGCTGCTGGGCACTTGTACACTCTCCCGTAGTAAACTTAAAGTGTTTGTTTAAGCAAGGGGCTAGGATGTAGCTCAGCACGCACAAAACTCTGGGTTCCATCCCCCGCACCGTGTAAAGTCGGTAAGGTGGTACCTTCTGCAACCACAGCCTGGAGGGTAGGAAAACCAAGGTCATTTTCAGCCACGTAGTAAGTTTGAGGCCAACCTGGGATACTTGAGATCCTGTCTCAAACACAGACACAAAAGGAGTAACAAACACAAAATAAAATTTGTGTTTTAGAGCCCCGGGCGGTGGTGACACACACCTTTAATCCCAGCACTTGAAAGGCAGAGGCAGGCAGACCTCTGTGAGTTCAAGACCAGCCTGGTTTACGGAGTGAGTTCCAAGATAGTCAAGGCTACACAGAGAAACTCTGTCTTGAAACCACCCCCCAAATTGTTTTAATGACAACCCTGTGTTAATTCCTAGAACAAAGAATAAAGTACCATAGACTGTTAGTAGCATGAAGGGTCTGGTTACCATGGTGTTACCAAGAGGCTTTTTTTTTTTTTTTTTGCAAAAGTATCTCAGTCTCATTTCTCAAGCGTCCTCTCAAGGGTCCCTCAATCCTCTAATGTCCCTGTCTCTATCCCCTGCAGGGGTGCCTGTCCCTTGTCTTGAACTGTTGACACATCTAAAAATATCCCATTCTGCCGCTGTCTCAACACATCAGCCGGGAGGCTCGCAAGCATCACTTGTTTTGATTTCATGAAATCCTGCCTCTCTGCTAAGAGTGGTGATTGTACAGTCCCCTGTCTATCTAACACTTACAAAAATCTATGCCAGGGAAGACGCAGAACAAATCACGGGTGCTCCTGGAGCTTGCCTGTCCACCAGCGTGGAAAACAGCAGGGGATGTGACAGAATGGGCTGTCGTATTGCCTGTTCATGAATCCATTAATGAGGATTTTCTTGGCATGAGAACTTCTACCTCCCATCTCCAGGCTGGACCCTTTGGTTGACTGAGATATGAGACCAACTCCCGCTGAGGACAGCGCCATACTG